CAAAGCTCTCGGAGTGACTCGGTAGTACTTGATCTTCCTCTACGATCACCTTATAGGCGACAAGCTTCGTCTTGGGATTTGACAATAGTACCTCCTGTCCATCGACGCTCATTGTAGGAGTGCTAAGATTTAAGTCGATTCCAAGTTCTTGAAAAAGATCCAATCCAATGATGACATCATCTATTATGTCGGCCACCAATACCTTACAATATAAGATTACGTTTCCAATTTTAATTTCTCCGTAGATTAAATGAAGTTTCTCAGATAGCTATAGTCAAAATCAGTCTTTTTGTCAAAGGTCGAATTTGACATTCCGATGCCACATTAGATCGAACAATAATATTGGATGCCCCTGTGTACATAACCATTCTAACATGGTGCTGATTTATAGCTCCTTCTATGTATAATGAGCTAGTTCCGTCTAGTCTTGAAATGAGGACTCCCTCCGTTCCATAAAGTTGGCTGTACTTAGTTTTCCGACTGCCTGTTTTGTTTGAGAGACTCTGTCGCCTTATGTGACCCATTTTTCCACATCCAGCGTTCCGGACGACCACTATAATTCTTACAGTTTCGAACAAAATGACTACCTCTTCTACATTCCCTAAATTTTGGATTTTGTTCTCTCGCATCTGTAGCAGTGGCTTTTTTCGCAGTTATTATACATTCATTGATAAGCGACGCGATAACATCCTTTGTAGTTGTGCCATTGTCGATTTCGGCTTGTCGCACTCATACATGACTCTCAGAAGCTTGATCCGCCGCTTCAAATTCTAAGGAATAGGACAGTGCTTCAGATGGAGTCTTGTGGCATGCTAGTCTAAGGACGTGCTGTAGTTCAGTATCCATGGCTACACAGATGAATGTTTGCATAATCAGCTGGTCTATGAACTCCGTAGGAGTACGGCTTTTCAGTTGCGTCTAATATGTTGTAAATGTTTATCGCCTTGTCTTATTTCTAGACGGTTGACGATATGATGGAAGTCATGTTGTTAAAACTCGGGCATTCCTTGGTGGCTATCCAGCGCTTCTCCTCATATAGCAATTATTAGTGATGTTGCTTTCTCTGAACCAGTCCATGCTCTGGCCTCTGCCGCTGCTCCAAACTGCTACAGCTAAACAGACTATGAGATCTTTCCATAAAAAATTGGAGGTGTAATAATTATTAATGGTCTTGCACCCGACTCGTCAACTCTCGCAGTATTAGGTAATTGTAGCTTTTCAATTTCTTCTTTCATTACCTCAATTCGCGCCTTCACCATTTCATCGTTCCTTTTAGAAATCATTCTCACACTTCATTAACAGCACATGCTGACATTAGAATTCTATTGCTTCCGATAGTAATTCAGCTATTCATTCAGAATACAAAAAAACGTATTGTTTCTCAGGAGTTATTTATATGCAGTTCGAACATTTACGTACACCAAATTAATTTAAACAGTGTATTCTTTCAATTTTTCTGTCACAGTAAAAATTTTTTCCTCTATTTGACTCAACTTAATTATTAAAGCTGGGTTAAAATCCAAACACCACTACATAAATAGCAATTTTCTATAATATGATAACCTTTAGTAAAATCGGTAATAAAACATACTGAAATGTGAGCGCTCTGACTGGAGGCAGCTTTTCTGACGTCACGGAACCGGGACGTAATACGATTTCAAGACACCGTATCTCGGCAACGGATCGTCGTAGAGCAGCGAAGTATGAAGATATTTTCTTAGATATTTTCGTACTAAAACCTTACTTTCTGATTACACCCCCTTTAACCAAGAACTCATTTAGAAATTGAAACATCATCATGTAATATTTCGGAAATTAACCATTACCTCCATTCTCCACATACATCACCGTATGTTGTAATCGTTTCAGGGTTAGAGAGTCGTCTGATTCCACGGAGCGACGAACTAATCGCTTCCCATTAAGCTACCATGTCTTCTCCTACAAGTAAAGCTCGGAAGAAGGAGCAACCTTGCCTTTAGCGAGACGTTGCACCTGTGCGTGCATGCAACTTACCTCGTTCGCCGTACCTTGCTGTTGTTGATTGTGCTCTTCGTCTTGCTACATCCACACATGCACACACATACAGACAAGCATAATGTACGTACGTACGCTTATACGAGAGTGCCAATGGTCTTTCTTACTTTGAAAACGACCAGCCTATAAGTGTACCTACAATCGAGTGGAGTCGATCTTTGGGAACAGAAATGATTTCGATGAATCGGTATCCAGTCTACAACGAATTATTACATCTATCTACAAATGAATGTAGAAAACATCTGGATTCTAAAATGTTAACAATGTAACAGGTATACAATACTTTAATAATATTAATACGAGAAAACTCTTGCAATTACGAAAAAGAAATACCAAAAAGTCCAATTCCAGCGTATTCATCCAATAAAAAGTTACTGAGATGATAAATACTTATACAGTTCAGTCATCTAATGGACCTTAACGCGAGTGCATTTTCTTCGGCTGATCCATAACTTAATACCAAACATAAACAATAACATCACCCCAAAAAGCAGCTATTTCCGACCTACTGAAGGTGAATTTTTCTACAATCAGCTGGAAATCGTAATTNTTATAACATTTTATGCTTCAAATGCCCGTAGGAGTCTGTGGTATAAATATTAATTATTATAACTGGGACACCCTATATATGTACTCATAAATCCATATAAATAGTTTGTGTGTAGCACAGCGATTGCGTGACGATAATTTTAAGGGTGTGGAAGATGCAGGTCAACCTTGACATCTAGGGAATTTTTACAATTCGAGTGGTCTATGAAATATCTGACCCGAAGAGTCGATAATGTTCTGGAATACTCGAAAACATTATGAATGAGTGATGGGGATGGTTTTTGCAGGCACAATAATATTAGGGCATGTTACATTTATATCTCTGAAATTTTATAATACGTATATACGTACCTAATGTATGCCATTATAAGAATTTCCTAGTCTTTCAAATGGCATCTTGCTGACTATATTTGAGATTTTTCAATTTTTCTTTTTTTTTTTTATCCTTTAGAATACGATTTTTGCAAGAAGCCTTATTAGTGTGCCCCTATATATCAGTCAGAATATATGCTGTCAAAATTCTATTTAAATCGACTCAATATAGTTTCGGCTGTATGTATTGATCATCAGTCAGTTTGTCAATACAACAAGCTCCTTTATACTGTATAGATATTATAACCCTTTAGATTTGATAAAATCTTATACAACTAGAAGGGAAACGTTGGTGTGTTAGCACATTAATTAATACCTAATAAAACCCTTTCATCCCCTATCAGCTTTCATTTCTACAATTCAAATATTAGACATACAGATATTATATGGTACCAAATAAAGTTCGTCGAATTTGTAAGTAATTGCCTATTTTGCGTGTACCCGGTAAACTTTTACCTAATTAATGAAATAAGCAACAGACTTGTCAATTTTATGAAATGTCCAATAAGGTATTTCACTTTTTGCAAATTTCGTGAAATAGGCAATAGCAGGCACAATAATTTCCGTTTAAAAAGATTTTTTTTGGACCACATTGTTGTACACAAAAGAAAGAAAGAAATAAAAACCTTAAGGAAGAACGTGGCCACGATAACACTCACTTCGTGAGGTGTAAGGTTATACTAGGAAAAGAACACTCACTTCGTGGTCGTGGTCATACTCTTTCATTCGTTTACAAACCTTTAAAAACCTTTTTGATATGTATATTTTAGCACAATTCCATCTTTTGTATCCTTGACCAGAATCTACCTAGTCTTCACTAATCAAAACCAAAATTGTCTTGCCTATTAATAGATGCGCCTATTAAAACGCTGTTTTACTTATTACAACCTACCTACCTACATGAAATCCGCAACTGCATTACTTGAATTAGGCAAAATTTTGCCTCTGAACACGTATTTGGCGTCACAATCTCGGTATGTCTAAATAAAAAGAGGGAATAAATACCAATCAGTAACTGTTTTCAAAATATCCAACGTTATTAAGCATTCTGCTCCTCTAATTAGGTATGGAGGTTCAGACTCCGCATAAGAAATTTTATTTCAAATATTTAGAATCGAAACAAATTCTATTTTTTGTTCCTGAGTGAAAATTGCTCATTCTTATAGATGGTATGTCCTAATAGTAAGACTTATGTATTAGGTACTGTGAACTCCTGGTATAATCTGTGATGGCCGCTGCAAGTCGACATCAAGAAGAGCAAGCAAGAGTAAAGCAAGTAACAATCAAATCGCAGCAGGAAGTAGTTCCAACTCTTTGTTAATTTTAATTTGGACGACTGTGATCCTTTCGGAAATATCATCAGTAACCTAACCTATCTGTCTACATTGTTGGAGTGATATGCCTAACAAACATTCCGAATTATAAGGAAAATGCTTTCGAAAGTAATATCCACCTGTCCCACGATCAGATAAATTTATCTTAACAAATTTAAGTAGAATACCTAATTTAAAGAAAATAATTATTTAATGTAAGTCAAACGAACATTAAATAAAAACGGTGAATTGCCAAAGAGGCTGAAGAGACCAATAAAGGAAAATTACCACCTGAAATGTATTTTATATTCATCAAATAAAGACGCCGCACCGCATCGTACTGACAAGTTTAATAAACGTGCATGCTTATGAGATAGAGAGGTGTACATTATGTATGTATGTCGTACATTTGATCCTACAAGAGAACCGTTATCGGACGGTAACTCTCCGGTAACCACTCGTCTTCCAATGCATCGATTATTTAAAAAGTATTCGACATTGAGAGCTCCTATCAAAAAATCAACAGGTTTCTTTCGGGATGGATACCGAACCGTCCACAGTATCCACCGCCATGAACGACTCGGATTCTCGCGGCGAGGATTCGGCAAAGATTCGTTGGATTGGTCCATCCGGATGCTGGAGGTGATCCTAACAAGACAACAATACGAAGCCCGAGGTAAGAGGGGAGACAGAGCCTACGGCTGCCCGACGCCATCAGTAGACGATCGGTTGTGTTGGTGTTCGCGTCGTTGAACGAAAACATACTTTATAATCTAAATGTAATGAATGGTAGTAATGTTTTAAGTGATTCTGAACATAACCCCGTGCTTCGTGTTTCTTAAGCCCGATGCCGTGGCCCTATGCTACGTTATGTGGAGTGTCATGTGGCGATTATTGTTGTGTAGGAGCATGACCCATGGATATTTATTACAGGTCTCGCTTCTTCTCCTCGCTCTGCTACAGGTAAATCCAACCCTTCCGCTTCTTCTTATCAATTCTTCGATCTTCCGTTTAATCTTCATCAAATTCTATCAAACAAAAAGTAAAATATGAATTTCGGAAACTTCAAGATAATTAATAGAATCCAATGGAAGAATAGTGAACTAATGTTTTCCGTATGAAGAACAAAAGTTTTTCCAATGATTTTCGTATTGGAAGATTTAAGAAAAACACAAGTGTTTACGTATTTTAACTGAATAATTTAAAAAAAAAAGTTAACTTAACTTTACACCATAACATCCAGTCAAAGTTAATAGGTACTAGGTGTTAACATAATTCTTTTTGCTAATAGGGACAAACCAAATCCTCAGACAAATGTGCCTTGTTTCAAGTCCTTGTTATTAGCTATCCAGCAAGGAACTTGAAATACCAACACTTCCACAAAAAAAGTGAATATAAATTATATGTTTCTTGTTTTTCTTCTGACGGCAAACGTAGGTGGTATGCCGTGATAACAAGTGTTTATAATATCCATTATGTAAGTGTATCTTGAGACCACATGGTCATGGTCATGCCTTCCATGGCACGTATGTATTTTCGAGTAAAAGATTGTATTTCAAACACTTACGAAACGTTTACATTCGAATACAGCCACTAAAGCTGTTTACTGAAACTTTTTCGAGTGATCTCAAGTGCGGTACCTACCGTTCCTTATTAATAAGAGCTAATACCAGAAAATACTTGGAAGATTTTATCATCCTTCTGCATATGTTAAATTTTTAAATTAACCATTCATTCACGCTCCGAGTAAAATAACCGTAGGCAACAGGTAGGTACTAATGTTAAATAATAAAATAAAAAAAATGACTTTCAATTATAAGTTACTGCATATTTTATTTCCATTCTCCTAATGGGGTCGTTAATGTTTCAAAGTTTAAACAAGCCTTTCGTTGTAAAATTATAGGACATTACAGATTCGGATTTGTTTGCTTACATTACCTGGACCGCATTCCACTCATAAAAATTCCCGTGTACCTATATCCCATAATTCACACTGTATACGTACTCTTAATAAAAGAACCCTTGTTCTCCGTTTCGTGTCTATCTAAATAAGGGCCATACACCTTATGATTTTCTTTCATTTCGCTGAGTATATTTTCTTATATCCCATTTCACATTTCGTGTTTGTTTTATCCATTGCTTATTCTTATTAATTAATTCTCTTTCTTAAAATTTAAAAAAAGAGGACGATATGAAAAAAGTACCTAGACGAAATGAAACTGTAGTTTGTATTTGCAAGAATATAGCCTTTAGAGTTACATTTTCATTTAGCTTTACCCATCCAGTATCATAATCGACACCGTTATAGTTTAGGTACTCGAATAAAGTCGATGACTACTACCTTTGCAATAATTTCTTATATCTGTTTCACCAAAATTTCTGGTAAGTTGATGGGCATTTACAGAAATTGCAAGGATAGTTTTTACTTATTAAATGCGGAAATTAGCAATATAATAATATAACAATATACTCACGTAAATAACAAGTGAAATTATTTGTTGCTAAACCGTCTATGTACATTTAAAAACTATATATATACGTCAGTATCTATAAATTAAGGGTGCCCATATTCCATGCTCCATACTCCGTAGAGGTACTTAATATAGGTGAATTTCCCATATGAATTTTATGACTTTTTCATCATATAACGAGAAGTCACAAAAAATCAAAATAAAGTAGGACAGAAAATTATCTAAACATTAAAAAAATGATCTATCAAAATAAATTGCAAACAAAATTGTAATCACAACTGATTATACCGTAAGAAATAAAGATGAAGTACGATAGTTCGATTTTTAAATAATTGCTCATATACACTAGTGGCAAGTTGAGAACCAATCATAAAGGGATGCTCAATCGCATGCGATCGTCAAAGGATGACATCATCATTTGAAAAATACCAAATGGTATTGGAAAATTCGTATAAATACATTCAACCTTCTTTGTATATACGTAATAAAAGTAATGTAGGCCCTATAAATACAATTTGTGGTGTTAAGGCGTGTTCAAAAGATTTTGAAAGTTTTAGTTTAGGACAGTTTTCAGAGAAGAAAATGATATTTTCAGATATAGAAACATAGACTTAATTGAAAAAGCATATTGCTCACGTTGACCAAATTATGCATTTTCGCCTACCGACATAAGAAGAAATGTCGACAAAAAACGAGTAAATTTCTATGTTCGGTGAGCATTTTGCCTTACGTTTTAGAGCAATTATTATTTTATTCCAATAGAATTATGGCTATAGCGTTTCTTTTTAAAGTAAGTTTCAGTGGGTATACTTTGAACGTTTCAGAAAGTGCATGATACTAATGTAAAGTGTAAATAAGATAGTGAAAATATTACATAAGGGGACATCCATTAATTACGTGAGGTCAGAATAGGGGGGAGGGGTCCAACGAAATCTCACCAAATCTCATTTAAACCGATGGGGGATAATCGAAAATCTCACGTCAACTTCAAAAAATATAGAATATCACAGATACTAAAAGAAAATGATAAAACTATTGATAATAGATGTTGTAAGACATGCGGCATTTACTTTGCTTCGTGTGTAAAGCTGCAGAAACACAGGTCAGCTCTTCATGCAGTTCGACGAGAAACTCTTGTCAGGATTCAATCAAAGCGTGTAGTTAAGTGTCGTGCTAAAGAGCTGCTGTGCGTTGTGGACGAATGTGGATAGATGAAGAAAACGTAGACGTTTCCAGTGACTGTCTCTTCCTGCACTACCATAAATCCCAGATGACATATGTCAAATTATTTCGATCGATAAAGTACACGAGTCTCCATGGATTGAGTAAAAATTAAAAAAAAAAGTGTTTTAATCTGTTTTTACTTTGAANTTTATATGTGATGAGCAGTCATTCTTTATACAATACATGTGCTTTTTCGTTTCTGCCTAATTAATCATAAATGGTGTCTTAAATTTAAATGAATATTATATCATTTCGAATTCGCCGTTTCCTGTAGGATGCTGCATTCTTGATAAGAATTTCTATATCTGTTACAACATGATAGTATAAACAAGTTGTAGTTCAAGGTGATTTATCAATGTTTAAAACTTCCTTTCAAAGCATTTCCGTCATAGTTTGTTACATACATTTATACCCTTCTTATTTTATTATAGAAGCATTTATACATTATACATTTACATATGCATATGTATGCAAATAATGTAAACTTCTGATATACACTTTAGTGGCAAGTTGAGAATTGAACATATAGAGATATTCAACGTTGTTTAAAACCATGATTAAAAAAAACTCAAAAATTGATGGCAAATTTTTTATTTTTTTTTGTAAATTAATTTTGGCTGGTTTGTAAGTTATTATTGATATTGTCACGTATTTAAACACCTTCTCCCGCTTTTACTACTTTTATTAATTATTTTCTGTCTAACACTTCTATTATTAATTAATTATATAATAATTAATTTATGACCAGTTTGTCGCTTCTTCTTCGCTTTGTATCATCTCGAACTCTCTGACTCGTACTAAGTAACTCGATCTCGCGACAACTATTTATAGAGACTTCACATTTTCTAGAATGTTCCAGTATATGCCTTCTAGAAACCTGGTGTTCTTTGCCACTGTGTATGTTGGCTTATATTGTAATACAGAATAAATATTAACAGAAAAATATTTTTAGGTTTTACTACTTATGAATAGATACATTTTTATGTAACCAAATAATTTCCCAAAATTAATCAAGATTTTATTGCAAATCATCTAAATTCTGATTCTATTGTATGCAATCGTCAAGGGGCGGCATCATCTTTTGGAAAATACAATGGAGTAAACAAAAATTCGTAAAAAATTATCTACAGCCATATTTTTATATAGATAACTGTATTTCGCAAACCGCCATTGTACACCGTTAAGGGTGGTATTTTGAAAATTCATGACACCGTTGCATATGTGACGTGAATATTTGTAAAAACTTTCAAATTTCCTGATTCAGCGGTTGGGACTGTGCCTTCAACGATGTATCAAACATTGAATCCCCTTTTCACCTCTAGTCCTTTTCTTAGTGTTCGCCTTTGATGAGGATGATCCGCTTTGTTTAGGACAAATTCTAGAGAAGTTTTAATTTTTTATTAAATTTTTACACTTAATACTTTCACCAAATGATAAAATTTGTAAATAATTTGTCTGTCGCGGGAATCGAGCCTCGAAGATTTTTCCTGTTTTTGTGTTTCCCTTTATTTGTCCTTTTTTTCTTTTTGTCAAATTTCATGATCTTAGGTCAAAGGGAAATATCCTACAGGTTTTGATTCCCTTGGTAGTGTCAAAATATACTGTGTACCTAAGCGGTCGCATCCTTTGATTGCGTTGACTTAGGAAGTTTGATTTTTCACAGTTCCATTAATTCCAACTCGACACCTCCACACGTTCCTAAGGAAAGGCGTTGACAAACAGTCAGACATACGCATAACGAAATGATCCTATAAGGGTTGCTTTCTTCTTTTTGAGGTACAGAACCCTAAAAATACCACCAAAGAAATGCATAATTTCTGTTCAGTGAATACTTTGTTTTCATCGTAAGGTCGTCAGTCCTAAGACTGGTTGGACACGCACCTTCACTCTTTCCTATCCTGAGCTAATCTCCGCATTTCCCTAAATCTAGAACATCCTCAACTGTTTGCAAACAGTAATCTAATCTAGGTCTACCTCTTCTCCTACTAACTCCCGTTTTTGCCTCTAATATGTCTGTGACTAGACCTTCATGTCTGAGAAGGTGCCCTACTAACTTATCTCGCCTATTTCTAATACCTCTTCATTTCTAACCTCTATCCACGGTATCCTCATCATTCGTCTGTAACACGACATTTCGAACGATTCTACCCTTTTCTTTACATGTATATAAAATTGTCTAGCATTAATATATTAATAATAGAGGAAATATAAAAATTGAAACAAAATGCACTGTCTATAATGAGTTTAAACTTTTGGACTTACGTATTT